CAAAAAAAAATTTTTTTTAAAAAAAAAAAAAAAAAAAAAAACAACAAAAAAACTTAACTGAAAATAAGTTTTCGTTCAGCAGTTTCGAACAAGGAAAGGTTTTTTGGGGGAGCTGCCAGTACAATAAAATAGAGACGATCATACACAGCTTGTTTATCATGATCTTCATAGTGACAACATGAAGTAGGGAGACTGTAGCTTTGTTTAAAGAAATCGAAAACTAAGCCCTGATTTTCTGTCCGGGCGCCCCCCCGCCCGACAGCTGTGTTACAGTTTGCAAGCCAGCATGGTTAAGTTTTGCCAGGCAAAGAAACACTAACAACTGCATAGCAGGACAAGCTTCAAAAGAGAAAAAGAAGGAAAGAAACCTCTCCGGAGATGTGCACGGAGGGAAATGCCTTCTGTGTAAGACAAGAAGCCACAGCCAAAGTGTGGAAAATGCTGCTTTTCCCTTTCTCCTCCCTGCCTGAGCGCATGAGCTGGGCCAGCGGGGCCTGACGTTGAACGGGCCGCAATCCCGAGTCACCCGCCTGCTGGGGGAGGAAGGTGCCGCTCCTCGGGGCTGGCAAGCTAAACCCCCTCGGGGCTGCTCTCCCCTCACCCCCACACGCTGCCTTAGCATCACTTCCAGCAGATGCCAGTTCATCACCTGAAACGAGGTCAATTTAATGCTTTCACTCTTGGGGATGCAATCGGATGGGAAGGCACTTTCCCTTCTTTTGGACTCCATAGAGGGGCTGGAAAGATTAGACAAAAATCGACGAGCACAAAAGGCAGATGGATTTCTGGGAACTCCGGCTTATTCAAATCACTGAGAAAGGTCACGGCAAGAGCCACAGATCTATTCATGTGAAGGGGCACAATGATCCTGTCTCAACTCCAGCACCACAAAGCACTCGGGAGCTTCTCTATACCTTTTCGGAGGATTAATATCCCGAACAATGAGTGAATAAAATCAAGAATTCAGCCAGTTCAAAGATCCCTGGATCAATGGCTGATATTTCCCTCTCGCTTCTTACAGGCAATAAACAGAAGTGAAGTTTCTGGTTAGAGTAAAAAACCAACCAACCAGCCAAAAACAAACTCTGCTCTTCGGCACCCTGCAGCCTCCTGCGCCTGGCGAGGAGCGTCCGAGAGAAGTTTATGGGCTGGGAGGAAGAGTGAAGAGCAGGGTGAGATCTCAGGGAGCATCTCTTTCATTAGACCGCCTCGACCTTTGTAAAACAAAATGTCTTTAATTGCAAGCTTTTGGGCACAAGCACCCTTCTTCAGGCATAGGAGAAAAGATTGTAAAAGTTCTCCTGGGTAGAAATGAAAGAAAAGAATGAGATTTGGACACTTCAGCATCTTCCTGAAGGCTCCCCCACCCATTTAAAAGTACTTCAAAAATGTGACAGAAAGCTTCAATTCAAAGTTAAGCATTTTAGAACTAAGAAAGAGCTCGGAAATTGTGAACATGTCCTGAAAATTGAATGTAACACAGGCTGTCCTGGCATA